TTTCTGTGCTCTTTTTGTGTTATTCTGGAAGGAATTTTAATGGATTTGTGGAAGCATCTTTGCATGGCCTTAAGTTTTACAATGACTTAATAAGTAGAACAGGAAAACAAAGCCTTATCTATGAATGGTGCACACTTCATATTATATTTGAAATAACAAAATGTGTGCTTTCAATTTGTATTTATTTCAGCATCAACATTCTGCTCTTAATTCACTTACTATGTGAATTAAGAGCAGAATATTGCATCTCTTACAGAATTTTAATGCAGTTAAACAGAACAGCACATGTGGCAGATTAACCAAGTGAAATAGTACTGTATTTAGCAAAAAGATTGTTCACAAGAAGACACACAGCAATTCCAAATAAATGACATTTTCAAATTCTGTTTGAATTTTCAAAAGTAGAAGAAATGTTTTGCAATATAGGCAATCTTTTGGATGCTTTCTTTGAATGTTGAAAACAACAATAGCTTAAGGATGATAAAGATTTCCAGCTCACAGTCTGACTTGGCACCATCTATAAAAGACGGTGTAGGATTTTCCCCCTAAAACCATCTTGCCTGCCATTTACATTGAGTTTGGATGCTCTTTAATCATTCTACCCAAAATTTTAATTTTGAATCAGCTCACTGAGTAGAACTCTTTTTGAAAATTTCCACTGAATATTAGATGTGTCTGAAAGGAGATTAAAGAAAACCCTCACAAGGTTAATCGCAATCTTCTCTTTTTCTTTCACAACACTTCCCTGAGACATGCTGCTGCCTGTGTGCTTTGAAATCCAGTGCTGGACTGGGGAGAGGAGATGAAGGTGGGGAGATGGTGAGCAGGAGGGTCCACGTGCAAGCCTGGCACTCCTTCAGGCTGATGTTGCCTACACTTGGCTTGCTGCAAAGCACTGCTCTCACATATTCAAGCAGAAACTTGATAGAGTTTGGTAGCTAAATACTTTGAATATTTTAGCACACTTGGCATCTTTCATGTCTGCAGGAGGCAAGCAGAACTTCCTCAGGAACTGTCAAAAATTTGTTTTGGATGATATGGACCATGTGTTTCAGATGAAAGTACAAGAAATCCTGCAATGAACGAGCAGCTCAAGCATAAGCTGAACCAAAGCAGAACTTCCTTTTAATGTCCAAAAGCTACCAGCATGCCAAGCATGTAATTGACTGTAGTCCAAAACCAGCTGACTGCCTCTCCCTTCCAAAATTGTCATGTGCCGTATTTATTTCATCAGAATTGTGTTCTATTTGTTTTCATCCTACTATCAGATGCATGTGTGAGTACCTGAAGCCATCCTGATGAGCTGCACCAAATGACATTTATTATGGCATCTTTTTCCCTCACTGAAATGGAGCTTTTGGAAGAAAATCATCTGTCCTGCTCTCCCTACCACGCTCTGCTGACCAGGCTGGAGCATGCCAAGCACAGGCTGTGTGCAGAACGCTGGGCCAGACAGGGACAGGCAGTGTCCAGCCTCTGCAGCCAACAGCAAACACCACTGGTGTCCTCATCAGCTCTACTTCCCCAAGCCTGGGGAAAGAGCTGGAACAGTTTTAGCAGCATCCAACTATAGTAGGTTGCACATCCAGCTTTTGGGTGGGTTTTGGAGCAGACAGTCCCGTGCTAAAATTGATTTTTCTTCTGTTGAATCAAGGACAAAACTCTACTCCACTTTGACAGAGGCAGAAGCGTCCTCAGAACCTCAAAGTACCCAAAAAATGACATTTTTCTAAGTCATTTATGAAAGTTAATATTAATTTTCTGTTTATGTTTCCTACAGAACAGGGGTAATTCTGTGTCTTTTTAGTTTATGAGGCACATTGGAAGGTGCCACAGAATGTTTAGTAGACAACTTGTGCTGTCATAACAGATCTTTTGCTTGGTTTTTGAATCTGCTGTGTTCTGGAACAGCATGCAAAAAGAAACTGTATTGAATATATTCAAATACTTAGAGAGTTTATTAAAAACATAATAATTCTGAAATGAGAGATGCAATTTTATTGTGATCTACACAATGCAAAAAAGGAAACACAGAACAGGGCTACACTTTTTTTTTAATAGCAGGAAATTAGACTGTACTTTAACATTAATCCACAATTTAGAGAAAAGATTGCATATTATTCTGGGGGGTATATTTTAAATATGACAATACAATTTAGCTTCATCAGGAGTACCAACAGTTCTGGAAAGAAATACCACTTCATTGCATTCTATATTTAATCATTTATTTTGATTCACAAAAAGAACTTCTCTCAGGATGCTCTTGATAATTTAAAAAATTACAGCAATTATACCAGCTCAATAAATACTTCAGCTTCATCTTCTTTAGTCAACATATTACTGATAAAAGGAAAAAATAAACATGGAAGTGTTCCTCCAGTCTTTCTATATTTGGAATTAGGACTGTAGCAAACAACACAGCCACTCTGACAGATTCAGGGTCAAAAGCTCAGAAGGATGGCTGAGAAACCACTTTGCATCCATGCTTTACCACAGGTTTCTTGTATATCCTTGGGAAAAGGCTGAGATGCTACTCACACAGTCACTAGCCATGCAAATAGAGATTTAATATATTGGCCAAGCCACTCCACCTGCCTTTGTGCTGACCTCTTGCAGGGCTGACACTGCCTCCCCAGACCCAAAGGCACTATGATGGAGCATGGCACAAAGACACTCTGGTACCTTTGTAGGATCCACACCAATTCTAGCAAAACAAACACTGACCCAGTGCTCTAAAGACCAGTCAGATGCAGAATCAGCCATTATGGGTTGTCTAAATCACATGTACCACAGTACAGCTTTCTATTGACACTTGAAAGGAAGTAGCGCTTAATTGCCTCCATCTACACAAAAAGGAGTGGGATGAGCACTCTCCTGAGGTGCCTTTCTTTGATGCAAGCTAAGAAGGGGCTGTGGGGCACCAGGAGCAGCAGGACAGATGCCCCAGTGCCCTGCACAGAAGCAGTGCTGCCTGGAAGCAGAGGCAGGCACTAACAAGAGGCAAGCAAAGGACTTGTGCTCGTGTGTTAACTAAAATTGTATCTGGATTCAAAGTGTGGCACAGACATTTTGAGTACTGATGACTGAGAAGTCATTATATGGAAAGAATACCTCTAATATTGTATCATGTCTTACTGAGTTCTGCTGGTGAGTCTGCTTGTGCCTGTACACAGAATATGGCACTCAATTGCCTCTGCTGCCTCACCACACTGCCTGATAGTGCAGAGACCTCTGAAGACTTAGGCATTTAAAAATTGATATTAGACACAGACTGACAACTCAGACTGTTATCAGCAGCTTGATGAACTTACAGCTCTATCTCCTGCTGCAGGGGGAACTGACTGGTAAATCCTCACTTCTGTTGCAGCACCAAGGGAAGGCGCAAGGATGAGGCTCAAGAGCTGCAGCTGAAGCATTCTGGAGGTGCAGAGATGCTGCAGGAATCCTCCTGGGCAGGAACCACCTGACCCACAGGATGGGCAAAAATGGCTTTTGGTCTCTGTGGACTGAAAGATGAGATGTAAGAAATGTTGAAGGTCACAGATCTGCCTGAGTTGGTATTTGACCCTGGTGAGTATCTGAGAGGCAAAGTGAGTGCCCAGCAGAGGGCTTAAGCAGGCCGTGGAAGAAGAGGGCTCCTAAAAACCACACAGGGTGGATGTAGCAAAAAAAGCTCTCAATGTGCAATACGAGTATGGTGGTAAAGATACAATAAAATATTTAAATAAATTCTCTAAATGAATGCAGCCTTAGATGATTCAGAGGAATTGCATCACTGCAAATAAGCGATACAGCAAATAGGTTTTCTAACCTCAATCTTTTTAAACTGTGAACATATTGAAAGACATATGGTAGACAAAATGCTTTAGATCCAGAAATCTTCCCTCAAAGAAATGTCTGCAGAAAATACAGTTTAAAAATATGAAACTGTACCAATCAATTTGAGGATCAGGCCACCTCTGCCAGGGCCCGACTGCTCACTCTGACAGCACCACTGCAAGGAAAAGGACAGGAGAATGTAATTGAGAATAGTTGAACCTATAAGCATTTGCTTTTATTTCAGTAACTTTGTGTTACTGGGAACTTCACTTTTCCATCAGTGAAGTGCTTAGGACAATAAATAAACATAAAGACATAACAGTCAGTAAAACAGTCTGTACTTTGCTCTTTATTCTGTTGCTCTCATTTAATGACTTGGGCATTCTATGAGGCAGTATATTTTTGTAATTTCCTAGTATTTTAGTAAAGCTTAATGCTCCCTGGCCCTACAGAAATGTTTCCTTTTTCTTTTGAATCATGAGCAATTTCACTGGCTGGAAGGAGCTTAACTCTCACCCGCAATGAGGCAGGACTTCTGCCACTGCTGCCACTGCCTGACTCTGCTTTTTCCATTATATCTATGACTGCTGACATTTGAGGGTTTTTCCACACGGGTGAATTGGAAGTGATGTTAAGCTGCTGAAAAAGCTTTATGGAGAGCTAGGGAGTTGGAGTTTGAGCTGTTAGTGGGGGGTAGGAGAACGCAGGAGTGCTCTCGGTAGTGACAATGTGGTGGCACAAAGTCCAACAGGGGCAGTAAGGCTTCTTGCTATGACTCCTCTCGTCTTATGGTGAAAATGCAAGTAAATCAAATTTAAGCGTATGAAGCTTGGGGCTTAGCGGCCTAATTAATTTGTGCCACATTCTAATCTGGTATAAAGTATACATTTCATTCTTCTGGTGGTGAACCTGGAGCGAAAAATGAACTGATTTCTTTATCTATCTATATATCGAGATCTCTGCCACCCGCACCCGTCTTTGTGAAACAACATCCTCCATGCATTCTTACAAGCACTATTTGCAATCCCATTGCTGGGGATCACTCTAAACGCCCCCGGCGAGAGGCAGGCTCCCGTTCGGGGGCAGCGCCGCCCCACACGGGGCGCTGGGCGCCGCTCCGGCCGCGGCGGGGGAGGCGCGGCCCGGCCGGGCCCGGCCCCTCGGGCCGCCCCAGGGCCGCCATGGCGGGCGGAGCGCGGCGCCTGTACCGCCGCATCCTGCAGCTGCACCGCGCTCTGCCGCCCGCCCTGCGCGACCTGGGCGACCGCTACGTGAAGGAGGAGTTCCGGAGGCACAGGGCGGCTGGGCCCGCCGAGGCCCAGCGCTTCCTGCGGGAATGGGAGGCAAGTGGCCGCCGCCCCGCGGGGCAGGGACGCGGCGGGGCCCGGCGGGGCGCAGGCAGGCCCCGGCAAGGTCAGGGGCGCCGGGCGGTCGCAGCTGCTCAGGTGTCGGGCTCGGGGATCTCAGAGGTCTTTTCCAGCCCAGCTGATTCTCTCTGCTCGGGCAGAGGAGGGGCGAGCTCCTTGCAGAGCTGCAGAATGCCTTGTGGCTCCATGTCTCTAGGCAGGTTATCTTTTATGGTTCTCAGTGCTTTGCCTCGAATGTGTGTGAGCACACACAGGTATATGTAACAGAGTGGCCTCAGTTATATAGTTAGCTATGTATAAATATATAAATAAAAGTATATGCACAATTATCTGTATGATCTATAATAATACATTGTATAAGCATATATAAATATTTATAACGACATACATAACTAATTGTACAGTTATAATTAGCTAAGTATGGGTGTAAATAGCTTCCCTGTGAACTTGCATTTGATTTTGGAGTAACATTTTTTCATTGTTTCTTAAGGAACTAAGTCTTATGTGAACATTGCTTCTCTGCTTAACACCCCTTCCCCTGAACTTCCTGCCTGGTTTCTCCAAGGAGAGAAAAGCAGATCACTCCCAAGTGACGAGGTTGTAACAAGTTTCACAAGCAGCAGAGGAAGGAGACCTGTAAGGTGCTTTCCCCACATGCCTGGACCCCAGTAGGTATCAGCATATTAACAGGTCACCAGGAGTCCATATGGCAAATGTATAGGCACTTCACAGAGGAGAAGCTTCAGTTAAAGCATGAACACAGCTGCAAGAGACAGATGTATTGACAAGCTTCACATTAATTTTCATGCGCCTTGAATTACTGGCTTGGTAGTACTTTTGAATCTCAAAACTGTTTTCCTTTCTGTGGAAGGAAACTCTGTTCTGCTTTGCAGTGGAAGGTGGTTAGCAAAGGTAGCATCCATTGCCTCCCAGTTTACAGAAGAAGAGTAGTGGGGAGAACTGCCCCATCCCTTCTACCTGCAGTAGCTGAAATCTTAGGGCTTGAAGTAACTGGGGCATCAGGAAGAAGCAGGAAGAAGACTGCCTCATGTACAAAGGAAAGGAATAAATGTATTTTAATTGCCTCTTGCCAACTGATAGATCCTCAAATCAGAGAATTTGTATCAACTTCTCAAATGCCTGATGCTATTGTGATTTTCAATTGCCGTTTACTTAATACTGCTGAAATGTTTCCGCATCACTGCTTTCAGTTTTAACATGAGCTAAAGAGACAAGTTACAGGTTACTATTTCCAGTGCTAAAATCTTCCTTAAAGTAGTTTTAGAAAAGGAAGGAAATGTTTACATTGAAGTATCTTTAGCCATTTTTAAAGTGAAGTGTACAAATAGTGAAAATGTTTCTCAGTTCTGAAATGTTTTAAAGGTAGATTATAGCGAAAATGGTGACAAAAATTAGACTACGAGTAATGAGTTGAATTTTGAAACCTGACATTTAGTGCTATTAGCTATGATATGTTCAAGGAAAGGAAACTAATTTAATAACTGTTTTGAGTGTGTGAATATAAAGAACTTTGCAAATATGTCTGTCTTCTAACAAGATGCTGGGAGATATTAGCATGTAGTTAACATGTCTCTTCTCATCTTTAATTTTTGTTTTGTTCTGAGGTCTTTTTCTCACCCAAATAATAATTTATTTTGAGTGTGAAATTTAAGTCAGACTTTCACATTTTTGGCCTGTGAGACTTGCTTTGCATCTTATGTTATGCTGTGGTTCCCAGCCCCATGAAGACTTGAATGAGGTGATTGAGGAAAGTGGACTGTGGACAAACTGGGATTAGGTAACTCTGGGCTCTAATTACATGCTAATTAATTCATGTTGGAATCAGTCCTTTGACCTGGTTTTGGCTAAGACAGAGTTAATTTTCTTTGTCGTAGCTTGTTCAGTGCTGTATTTTGGATTTAGTGTGAGAATACTGTATTTTGGATTTAGTGTGAGAATAATGTTGGTAATGCACTGTTGTAGCTATTCTGAAGCGTGCTTACTCTAGATCAAGTATTTTTCAGATGCCCATGCTCTGCCAGTAAGGAGATGCACAAGAAGCTGGGAGGGAGGATGGCCAGGACAGCTGACCCAAAGTGGCCAGGTCCATACAGCCTGTAGTGTGTTCAATATATAAACTGGGGAAGTTGGCCATGAGGGTTGATCACTGCTCCGGCGTGGGCAGGCCATCAGTCAGCAGGTGGTGAGCAGTTGTACTGTGCACCTCTTGTTTCTCTTGTATTTCATTCTTTGCACCCTTCCTGGGCAGCAGGACACTCTGAAAATAGGCTGGAAGCTCCAGGACAGGTCTTGCAGGACAGACCAGCATAGCTGTGGAGTGCTGGGTTCTTGCCTAAGAGTCACCCAGTTAGCCACGAGGGAAGCTGAGATAATGCTGCTGTTCATGTAGCTTGTACCATAACTGTACTTCTTGCCTCTAATTTTATTAAATGAAACAAAAAAGAATCAAACCAAACAAATCCACCTAAACAAATCACTGCAACATTAATACAAACTGGTTGTTTAAATTGCCTGTTAAATTTCTTTTTTTTTTTTTGGAAAAAATGCTTACAGCTCTGATAACAGTATTGTGGCATGTTGCACTTCCAACTTTTTTCTTCCCAATTTGCTTGTTCATTAGGCTAAGCATATACCTTGCTGTATGCACTTTGGTGTTGTCAATATTCAGCTTCCATCTGGAAATGTTCTTTCCTCATGCCTTCTGTTGAATGCAGGGCAGGGCATCTGGTACAGGGTGGTATGATGTCTCATGTTACAGAAAATTAGTATTCTTAATTTTATGTTAAAGTAATATATCTTGATGTATATTTATCAGAGGGTAAAGATTATGGATATGATGATTGCAGTGATGTTTCTTGACTTTGAATGAGGATTTCAATATGAAGTGTAATCTTAATAAGTCATCTGAAATGCTTTTTGAATGAAAATTTCCAAGGATGTCATATTTGAACATGAAACTCCTTGACTATTGCTAAATCTCTTCAGGCTCTCTTTGGGTAGTCAGACCTTCTGAATATACTATTTCATAGCCTGTGGTGTGCTTTTTTGTCCTCCAATTTGATTCAAATTAGCTGAACATTTAGAAAACAGGCCTGGCATTTCAATCACATTGTGGTTGCCTCACATAATGCCCCTGCCCCCCTTGCTATTTAAATTATGTTGATTCAAGGGAGCTGGGCATATTAATTCGAGTTTGTGGCCACGTGGGAGTCAGCCTCTTGTCCCAGGCCGTGGTTGCTGTCCCAGCCTCAGGTTCTGCCACGGGGAGGTTCGGGTTGGACATCAGAAGGGATTTCTTAGCAAAAATGGTTGTTAAGAACAGACTGCCCAGGGAGGGGTGGAGTCACTGTCCCTGGAAGTGTTCAGGAGATGACTGGATGTGGCACTTAGTGCCATGGTTTAGTTGACATGTTGTGCTTGATGCAAGGTTGGACTCCATGACCTTAGTGGTCTTTTGCAGTCTGAATGATTCTGTGATTGTGTCTCACAAATGGAATAAATTTCCTTTATTTCTTATGAAACACAGTGGAAAACCTATAGGGAGATTTTTAAGATCAGCTTTAAAAATAAAAGGAGGAGAAACAAGAAGTAAAAAGCTCTGAGATTATATTATTGTAGGATGTGAGTGGTTTGTGTTGTTTCCCTGTAAAGGAGATGAGAAGGGACCTCATCTTGTTTAGAATGCACAGGAATTGAGGGATTTAATGTTAGAGCCAACCATGTAGATGGCTACTGAAGTTTTGTAGGAAACCTAAGCTGACCTATTTGCACTTATAAAATAGGGAAACTATCCATTGAATATTCTTGGAAGAGTTTTTAAGTGAGTACCACCAATGGTGGACTGCAAGTCCATATGTGCTCATGTCAAAGTAGAAGAATATAAATATTGTGGTTTTCCTATCATTGGTATTGGATTCCTAGTTTGTGTCTGGAAACCTGCTGGAAAATATTAAAGAGGGATGATACAAAGAAAGTAAGCTTTGTTGTTCAGGAATTATGCTTCTTCAGGTAGATTCAAATTAAGCATATAAATTATTAATATATGTTCCTATCTATTTTCTAAATATTTAATATTTTAATTAAAATAATTGGTACTCATTTACAGGAGACTGCTGATATAATTAGATTGATACTGATTATTATCTTGGAATGGTATTGAATTAATGTTGACAGGTATCATAAGTCAATTAGTTCAGCAGTCTTCTAAATCATGGTAGCTGATGAGAATGCTTACATAAGATAAGCAATATTAAGGTAGTATTGATTACTTCATTTCAGATTGCAATGGGTTCAATATTCAGCTAAATAATTTAAGTAACAATTTGTTTCACATTTAAGCATTAATTTTGAAAATGACCATTTTGTACTTGGCTTTTTTAAAAAGCCTAACCCTGTAGATGAGAGGGTCTGGACTGTCTCTGAGACAAGCAGAATCATTCGGCAGAATTACACAACATTTTCTCAATTTAATAGATTGAATAAATTGCCTTTGAAATTCTTTGGCCACTCTTGACCCTGAAAATCTTTTTCCAAGCTTTCAAATGAACTGTCACATAGCCTCTCAGGAATGACTGAATTTTTGAATCAGTGCATTTGATGCAATACAAATAATTGTCATTCATCAAATTTATTTTCAGTTGCCTGCGTCACTTGCAGTATTTACTTTGCTGGGATCATTGTGGGATGCTGTCATATCTCAGAGAATGAAGTTGTTCTGATATGTCTTTTTCTGCTCATGAGCAGATACACTTACAGAACTTTTTGCTTCTTAATTTTCTGGGCAAGTATAATCTTCCCTCCCCTTCTTGATTTATTTTTAACCTACTAGCACTCAAAAATATGTTGAAATGTTGAATGGAGAATTTGAAGAGCAAATAGTCAAAGAGGGTGGAAGAGGAAATTGTGGCCAGTACTGGAGTCAGACTGAAATGGGAATGGGATGTGTGGGTTGCCCT